TATACATACACGCACACATACATAACTTTCGCGTTGTCGGTAAAACAGACAGACTCCAGCATCCCCTTAAGGCTTGTTTTCTATTACCGCAATTGACGAACTAGTGCGATAAATCGGAGTAAGACCGATATTCATAGTCGATTTTTATTTCAAAATCATCTTTAGTGTTAGCTTAAGAGACTAATACGGCTCGGCGATTGGTTAAACCGGCCCAGGACAAACATATTTTTTCTCATGCCGGCTTACTGCGCCAGTTCACCGGTGCAGCAATAAAAAACAAGCCTCTAATTACGAAGATAAAAGGTTTGTTTTCTGTTCCTGCACTGGTGAACACAGTACAGTAAGCTAGAATGAGAAAATATATTCTTGCTTGCTCCAATTTATTGCACTAATTCACCAGCGCAGAAAACAAACCTAAATGCTAAAGATACTGCGTCAAACTTTGAAAGAAAAATGCTTAATGCAAATGCAATGTTTTTTTCACAATAAATAAATTTCGTTCAATTAATTTGTAGCAAATCAGAATCGCCCTCTTTTAAAACCAGGCTCTGTAGATTATTAGTTATTGTATACATTCGATATAAATTATTTAATTGCGGGATTTGTATTGCTTTCGCAGGAGAGATTTCCAGGGACAGAGATATTTTTACTAGGGAAACATAGGGAACGCGCGTTCCCATTGGACGTCGGTCGAATGTTTTCCTGCCGTAAACAGAACGCGTAGCGTGTAATCCATGGTGTAAAGACACAGGGTGAAACCACTCGACTCTTTGATATCGGAAAGCTCATTGTAAAAATCATGAAGAATAGAGATAAGGAGGCTCAACTAATGCTTTCGAGAATGAGACCAAAACCTGGTTTCTGTGGTAGTTCAAAATATGTACACCGGCGGCGCTACGGTAGACAAACTATTGCTAAACAGCATGGACGTAAGAATATATGGACGGAGTGTAAGGCCGGTATTCATAGTCGATTCTTATTTCAAAAGCATCTTAAGTATTGTCTTAAGTCGCTAATACAGCTCTGTGATTGGTTGAAAATACATTAAGAGCATACTTAAGATGATCTTAAATATAAGAACGGACTATGAATACCGGCCTAAGTTAGCGGGGGCCGAGCCAGAGCAGTGAGGGGAAAAGTAGTCATCACATATGGCGGCGACACTACCACGAGGCAGTGCTGTCCGAGCGACCGTGTCTGTGCGCACACGGACACGGTCGCTCGCTTGTGTGCGTCATCCCCTCCCTATGCGACAGTGCAACCAAAGGCCGCTCACGGCAGCACTGCCACGAGGCGTCCTATACAATCACCTAGTCATCACATATGGCCGCCACCCAATTTCCCCTCACCGCGCTCGCTTGGGTCCCCTCGTCCTAAATCCTACATTACGCTCCGTCCATATATTCTTATGTCCATGCTAAACAGAAGTCGAGAGGGGATAAATCATGGTACACTAATATACACACTCACACCGGGTCTACTAATACACACTCATACTGTGTACGTGAGAACGCTGTCGTTAAAGTCACTAGATATATAAAGTACCGCAATCCATAAGACCACTGTATAAGGATTTGGAGCCAAAATGGCG